TTCGGCGTTGAGGCAGTAAACAGTGGGCAATGACGTGATGGCAACGTGCGACAGGTGGCGGGCGAGCGATGAGGATGGGTGGGAGGAAGAGAGAAACAGTGGCTCACTGCTTCGGAGCTGACGTTGTTGACGTGGGCGGAGCTTGAAGTCGCCGAAAAGCTGCCGCCATCAATTGCCTAATTGGGAATCACGCACGTGGAGGCGGGAAAAGCAAAAGTGGTTGTGGTAGTGAGTATAGTCGTGGCGGAGAAAGTCCTTCGAAATTCTTTGAAACTTAGGGGCTAGTAAACAAACCCAACAGATAAGTTTTTTTTACGTTTCCGCATGATTATGAAAAGCGCTGTAACAAAATTGAAAAGAGCTTTGAAAATCTCTAGTATATTCCATGACCAATTATTGCAGAAAGTTTGGGAGTTCGAAATTCCGCCGATCGAGGCCGCCATCAAATGCCGCCGGGAATAGCCACCGATTTGCCGCCGATAGGTTGTCAGCCACCGATTTATGGCGCGTGCAGTCAGTGTGAGGGCTTATGAGCACAAATAATAGTATGTACTCGTTTCTCAGGATTGTACGGTAGCGTTCCAGTGCGCCAAGCACCCGGCTTCCTCTTCGGCACGACGGCATTATTTGATTCGGATCAATTTGAGCCCCTAAATCCGGAACCAAGAATGAAAGCGTCTACCGCCCCCTCTCCTCTTCCTTCAATGGAGTTTCCAACGGCTGCTCTGCTCGAATTGCTCGCAAGCGTAGACCACCCTGATATGCCGCCAGAGCTGCGTAAGGGGCTCAGAAAGCTTAAAATGCTCAAGGCCAGTGACGGCGCCCCCACCAAGTTCACTATTGGTCAGTCCCAACCTAGCGATGCGCCGCCGCCCTCTCCAGTCGTGAATGACGATGCTCCGTCGCCATCTCCGGCCCTCGCAGGTGAACCTCTTGCTGGCACCTTGCGTGCTCAGAATTCTGAACGAACTCCGACGTCTATCTAGATATCGACTGGAGGCTAGCTTTCAATCTATTTGCAGTCTGGCCGGACGGCAAAAAGATTCAACTGATGCAGATGGTCCGCTTTGCTGCGCTGCACCCCTCCGTACGGCGGGCGGACTGGTGTTTAGTCGTGGGGAGGTGGATACTGGGCGCGGTGGCCCCCGCAGCGAGGGGACACACTGTGTTTGATGTGTCCGAAGCGAAGGTTTTTTTGAGTGAGAGCCTGGAGCGCAGCGCTCCCCGCATAGAGGCCATGGATGACCTCCCAGGCAAATTCCACAAATCGAACTATTTTAAGGTTTTCTATCTGCATGTTGGTATGTACCATGAGGGCGTCTCTACCTGTGAGATTAATATTTGACTGACAAAGAGTCCAGAGGAGTGCATCCCATTTCCCAGCAAAAACAATTGGAAAACGGAGGACAAACGGAGGACTGTAAGAAATTCATCGCCTCCACATCCACATTCAGCTCACTTCTGATGCAACAGCTCAGTGAGGCGGACAAGGGGATTGTGAGCGGTCGTACCCAGGACCACTGCGCCGTCAGTGGCCAACACGCCGAGCCTGGCAATACAACACACGAATACTGTCATTTGGCTCCGACTGCTCTTGCAGAGGATTCAATCCGAATGTTCGGGCACGCTGTCAGCACCGCTGTCCCCAGTTTCCCGGACAATCTGACCATTGTAGATGCGCGGATGGCGATGTATTTGTCCATCTTCATCCACAGACTGATGGATAGTGACCTTAGGGATATTCGTTCCCTATTTCAGCGAATCGCCAGGAAAGGGCGTTGCAGACTTCGCTGTCACTGCTACAACTCTCGAACTTCATATACATAATCCCAACCGGACGTCATTTCACGAAAGTTCGATTTCTGAACTCGCAGTCAAAGTCAACAGACTGTGCGCGGTGAGTAGTCCTGGGTCTCATAAGGCGCGCGCTAGCACAAGGTTAATTATGCTCTGTAGGCCAAAACCCCACAGCCTCCTCAAAACCAACACGCGTTCCACCGGTGTGCAGAAAGACCACCAATCGTTGATTGGTACACCGACGACAGTCCGTGGGACGAGCACCCGAGCAGGCCGCCCCACCCGTGTCTGCTGGCGGTGCATTACGCTGTGTTCATCTTACGGCGCTTCGGCTCTGACGAGCTTCGAGGTTTGGCGTTGGGAGGGAAACGGAGGCGTCGCGGTGGTGGTGTTGGTAGAGAAGATCGCAATGACGGAGCTGACGTAACTCGTCCTTCGAAAATACGACGGACAGCCGTGGGTCAGCAGACTCCCCCCGAGGTAGAAAGCGGAAGTGGGTGCATGACCATCGAGACCGACCAGTGTGCGGAAACCGCGAATATGAAGGAGGATAGTGAATATATCGACAGCGAAGAGGAGGAGGAGCAGGAGAGAGAGGAAGAGGAGATGGAGATGAGGGCGCGTTGGTGGCAGTTTGTCATGGCGCAGGCGGTACGGATGTATGGCGGGCCTTCGCTTCGGTTTGAGATGGAGGATGATGAGGCTAGTGGAGAGGAGGAGGAGGAGGCGGAGGCGGAGGCGGAGGCGGAGGCGGAGGCGGACGAGAAAGTGCTTGCGTGGCATTTTGTTATGGGGCAGGTGGTGCGGGCAACATGATGATAATACTTTGGCTCGGTCTAATATATATGTAAAATCTAGTACTATCCCCAACACAAGTTGCTGCCAGACACCGACGAGGATGTTAGACGTGCGTTTCTTTGTAGGAAGTTGAATATAGTTTTTGTCGAGACGGAATGATCCGAATGGATCTATCAGTGCGCATGAACGGCATGCCACGTACGCAAGACTCAAGTCCTTAGCTTGTCCTTAGCTGTGGTTTCCGGCTTAGTCGAGGTGTAAATCGAACTTCAAACATGTACTTAAAAGCTCCGGGGCCCCACAAATCCCTCTAGATCCAGTTTTCCGTCGCTTGAAGCGATCATGAGCCATTCCCCAGTTCAAACTTCATTCGGGCTTGATTCGGACTCGGAGTTACCCGGCTGTTCTTCCCAGCAGTATGTCTGACACTCTAGCCTTTCGCTCAGCCCTTGTCCTTCCGACTACTTGGACGCAACAGGTCTCACTACCAGAAAATAACTTGAATTGCGCAAAGCCTGGGTCTTTCGTTTTGATCCGGCACTCCTTATGACTCTATACTATTGTCGACAAACCGTTGACAGAGCTCTTCTTTGACTCTCTTAACTTCTCGATATCAAGAGTATAGCGCCCAGCCCTACCCCGACGATCACCGCCTAATCATAGCCCTTTGCACCGGTTGTGCAAATTCCAGCGCCCCACTGGGACCGAAACTGTACAGCTTAAAAGCACAGAGAATTCGCGAAGACAATCCACATTTCGTCGCCTCCACCCCAGCAAAATGGCTACTCCTACGAAATCCGACCGCAGCCAGCTTGCGCGGAAAACCATCAACCAATCTATCCCCGCCGTCCTGCAGGCTTCTGCTCGCGCAAGAGCAGGCGTCAGATCTTCCAAAGTCCTCCGCGATCTCAAACCGACCACACCTCAGCCAAATCCATCTGCACCAATAACGCTCCCGATAATCAGCGTCGTGGAGGGTGATACACTAGAAGTTGCTTTTCAGATGCGGGAAGACGGCGCGCTAGCCAAGATTGCCGTCCTCTCGATGGCGTCTGAGCTCCGCCCGGGTGGGGGCTTCCTCTCTGGCGCAAACTCTCAAGAGGAGAGTCTGTGCATGCGGACCACGCTGTATCCCAGCCTGCAAGAAGGGTTCTACAGGCTCCCCGAGCTCGGATGCGTCTACACCCAAGACGTCTGCGTCTTCCGCGGCAACTACGGCGACCATCCGGGTACCGCTCGCGCCCCGTCCGACATGAATCCCATCAGCGAATGGTGGTTTGTGGACGTTATATCGTGCGCCGCCGTCCGTGGGCCAGATGTAGACGATAGTGGTCACTATGCAGACCCAGTGCAGAAGGATTTAATGCGGGAAAAGATCAAGCGAATATTCCGGGCTGCGTTAGCGAACGGGTGTCGGCGCCTGGTCCTGGGCGCCTTTGGGTGCGGAGCGTTTGGGAATCCCTCAGCGGAAGTCTCCGACCTCTTCAAACGAGTCCTGCTGGGCAGAAATGGGGATGGAATGAAAGGTTGTGAGTTCGCAGGCTGCTTTGATACCATAACATTTGCAATCAAGGGAGGGCGAAAAGAGTCTTTGCCGGCGTTCACAGCGGCCCTGGAGAACTAAAATACGATGACCTGGAATGTGTGATGTAGAGTTGATGACGATGACGGCGAGGTACAGCTCTGCTCATGTACCTACATCCCGCTGAAAGCAGGGTTTTTTTTTTAAAGAAAAAAAACGCAAAAAATGCCAGTGTGTTGTAACAAAACCCTAGTGGAGTAGGTATCGCAGTGTCCGCCCGTTTGCACCCTTGAGACCTTTCGGACTCCTCCGGTGGGCGCGACCTTAGCCATTAATCTAACAGGGACGATAAAATACCATTTTTTTGGCAGCAATGACTGGAGCCAGTGGACCATCGAATCACTGGGTGAAGTTGGCAGAGTCAGTGTCCTCAAAAAACTTGAATTGAACGCAGCTCCTGACCAGTAAAACCGCGATCCTCGTCGACGTCGGTATTTTGACTCGCCTAGACATTTTGTGCTGACGGAAAGAAGGAGGAAAGAAACCGTATTTCCGCGGTGGTCCCATTGGAGCATACGGAGTCGCCTTTTTAAAAAAAGGAAAACTTGCGGTTTTCTTTTTCTCGTAGCACGATGTCAGTATCTTGACTCGCCTAGACATTTTACGCTGACGGAAAGAAGAAGGAAGGAAGTGCCATACGGAGTCGAGTTATCTGCTTTCTTTTTTTTTTTAAAACGCAAAAAAATCCTGTGTAACAAAACCCTAGTGGAGTAGGTATCGCAGTGTCCGCCTGTCTGCACCCTTGAGTCCTTTCGGACTCCTCTGGCGGTGGGCGCGAGGTTCCCATTCTTATGCTAGGATCGCCGATCCAACCCGCGGCAACTGGCCCTGCTGGGGATCGAACCCAGGACGTCTGTTATTGAACGTTGTTCAACTGCAAGCGCCTTAGCCATTAATCTAACAGGGACGATAATATACCATTTTGTGGCTCGCTATCAACCTTCAATAAATTACTATGATGTGCTTCGCCTGGACATTCGGATGGCTCAATCCAGTACCTGCGATAGAAGAACATTCTTGGGCATAAACCTCGACTCACTTTTCGTGTCTTGATTTGTGTATGTATGTACACCAAAAAGAGCCGTTGAATGGGGCTAGTTAGTTGTGCATGACCATGACGTCACGGGCCAGTTACTTCTCACCTCTTCACTTCATCCGCGATGCCCTCGCCGCTCGAGAAACACGTTCTGGAGGCTCTGCGAAAAGCAATCCAGGATCCAAGTTACACCTTCTCGATTCCTTGGTTGCTGGATGACACATGGGAGAAACTTCGTGCGCCAGTCGACTGACCAGCAGCGGGAAGGGCTCAAAGCAAAAGGCTGAATCGCCCTGCAGTCCGCCTTATTAGCCACAGTCCTAGAGGTCTCAGACTTAGATACCTGCCCCGTCGGATATTACGCTGTGAGTTCCATCTTCGCCTCCTCTTCAGCAGCTCATCTTCCTTTGGAGCATTGCACTTTCTTCAGTAAATCTAGAAGAGGGTCTCGTCACGGTATCGCCCGACTCGGATTCCGCCAACCTGGTGGGCTGCTTAATGAGCAAAGACCCAGAATCTCCCTCGCGAGTCGGGGCTAATTTTCTTGCCGCCACAGACCCGATAGTGTCCGATTGGTTAGGCGAAGATCGGTGTCCATGCAATGGAAGCTATTTCAAAGAACTCAGCCTCGTTCCAAGCTCCCACATTCATTTACACTCCCTTGTTAATATTTGTAAAGAGCCCCATAAATACGAGTAGCGTGGAAGCGCAATGTCAGGCACCATTCGTGAGCTGACCTCCTACACGCTGCTAGCGTTGAGTCTGTCACAATCCCATAGGATGGCGGGGAAGAAAGGTAAGACCAAAATTAATAGAGTGTGTTGCCCACGCTTGGCCAAAGTTCCAGTCGCTGCCGACATTTGGCCGAGAACTGATCGGAATCAATCAAATCCAAACTCCGACCCTTCTTGGAATTGAACCACTACGTCCGCTAGTTCTCCGGCTCGAAATCTCGATGACGTATCCTTGAAAACAGCACTGTTGCGGTGTGCTACTCTAGGGACGTCACCTGGAGAGTACTTCGTCGAACAAATGTAATATTCTGTCGGTGCGCTTGTACTACAGGCCTAGTTATCATAGCAAAATCCCTTCATTAATTCGATGGGCAACTGCGTCCGCCACAAATCCTACGAGAATAATCTGGCCCACCAATGGGGTCGATAGGAACATGGCCTTGCACTCTTCTGGACAATCGATGTCGGTGCGCATCAATGTTGCCAATAACAGGCCTCCAGCTATTGCGATGCTGGCGTAAAACAATATTCCTTGGCTGTTCAACATGCCACCGAATGCCAGGAGACTCAGGAAACCCAGCGCGGTCGCTGTACAGATTGGGATCGTAAACCTCCCGCAAAGGAGCGCCGGGGAGTTGATGCCAATTCTGATGTCGTCTATTTTATCCTATATTGATATCAGGAGCCAAGTCTGCAAGCTCAAATTGAGCGTACCTGGTGTTGATATATCGTTTCGTAGGTGATGGTCCACAGGCAGGTGCCCAGATATATCGGACCAAGAAGGCCCCATGGAACGGTCCGGTCGACGGTAAGGTCGCTCCATCCCATGAATATGCCGACATTGAACATGAGCCCCTAGTCAAAGTATTAGCCAGTCATCAGATTCGCTTTTTACCAGGCGCTAACCAGAGGAATCGGCGCAAGATTTGTCCAACGCTAATTTTAGGTGAGTATACAATGATTCGGCCCTATATCAAATTAAACGGTCGATACCTTGCAAGTGGGATAGATGATATACAATGGCCACACAATCATTGAGGCGAACAGTCTGCATGAATCTCAGCACTTCGCAGACACGGACGAAATATACCGCTTACGCAGTTCGACTCAGTGTCATTATCGCCAGATGTATGCCCAGCACTACCTGTAGGCCAAAAAATAGCCAGGCGCGGTCCAGCGATATAGCGCCGCGAGGAAGAGGTCGATTGAGCGTCCGCTCAACTTTCGCGTCAATATCGTCGTCAAGAATATCGTCAATGGTCATTATCTGAGCATGGAGTAAACATTTTTCGCTCCGTTACTCCTATAATGCCGACTGACCAGCGATTTGATACCGAAGCACAGAGGAACGTAGATTATCGCCCGCATAACCGCATGGAAAGCCGAGATCTCTGGCTGGGCTCGGTATATCATCGCAATAGACCACGCTAGATACAATGGCAAGTCAGAAATAAAAGGTGACCTCAAATGGCTGGATAATCTATTACCTGTAGGGAGCCACACAACCCAAAACCCGATGTTATTATGGAGCCTGCATAATTCCCAGCATGCGGCTCGCTCAATACGTGTCGGCAGTGCCAATAGGGTCCCTGCGGAGGACAGAAAATAATCCACTTTGTTGGTCTTGAAGGCCATATGTACGGACGGAAACCGAGAGTTGATAACAGTCCGATAACAAGGTGAAGTCAAGACCGCGTCCGCAAATTCACTTATGAATTGTAGTGGCGAAGCCGAACCAGCTCAGGTTTTTGTCGCATGTGCACCCTCTATTGATAGCGCAGTTACATGAAATCACGAAATCTGCAAAGTTCTTCTCACACGCATGACGGCACGGGTGAACATCTCCCGCGACGGTGTGCAAGTCCCTTGAAAGGCAAACTCCGAGTCGTTCTTCAAAACAAAACACTTTGACCTCAATTCACAGGGTTGGTCGGTTATTGTGAAGTCCATCCGGTTATGAATTTCTGACATGTGGAACGTCCTCGACATTGGGTACTGACAGCAAGATAATATTAAATCACGAGTAGCTCTGAATGGGTGTATGTTTCCCGCGCGTCGATCTAGATCCTCCCGCGAAGGGTGCTCTGATTGATAATGGACGCTTCTCAACTAGGTCAAAATTGGCTCCTAAGGGAATTGCACAAACATGAGGCCAGCCTGAGACTCGACAATTCTCCACCGTCCTGCATGCCTATTCCAAGGATTGCGTGCATCGTCGCCGCGACGCTAGGCCTCCACACAGCTACAACATCTCCAAATCCACCTTTCGTTCCGGTGGTCACTAGAAAGAGCAATTGCTCCGACTGGATGGAACATTATTCTCAGCTCTTATTACCTGCGAAATATTCAAAAAGTCGTGGGTTGTTTTCAAAGTCGCGATCGAAGCCAACTCACGGCACGCGCAGATTATATACTGGTCTGCAGCCATTGCGGAGGTCCTCGTCCTCTTTATTCAGCTCGCGTCTTCATCGATATGGGCACAGCAAATTACCCAGGTGCTTGCCCTCGATAATTTAGAACAGGTCGGTTTCACGGCCTCCCCATCGCTCGCGTTCGGATCCCTTCTCATCACCTGTGGCGCTCTTCTCCGCCTTCGGTGCTACCGCGCTCTTGGAAAATATTTCACGTTCGAAACTGGCATTCTTCCTGACCATCAACTGGTAACATCCGGCCCATACAGCTGGGTACGCCATCGTACGTCCCCAATGACGAGCAGACCGTGCAGCGAAGTCCTAATATATGCACAGCCAGCTACACAGGCGCATTCCTGGCAGCAGCAGGGCTACTCATCTACTACGGCAGCCCCGGATCCTTCCTAATGGAATGCGTAATCAAGCGTAGCACGGCAGGGAAGGTGTTTGTGACGCTGTATGGGCTTCTCATCTGTTTTGTTGTAACAGGGCTCTCTTTGCGTATTCCGAAAGAGGATGAAGGGCTGAGAAATGAGTTCGGAAAAGAATGGGACACGTGGGCTGCCAAGGTCCGATATGCGTTGATACCTGGGATTTATTGAATGTTGCTCCCCAATTATCGTATTGGCAAGTTTTCCATATCTGAGTGTGGATTATCCTATATCAACTGTGTGTTGGGAAGATAGGCAATCAAAAAAAGTAGACCAACAAATAGATGGCCTCCAATTCCGTGCGGCCACATCCGTATTGGTTTAATCGACATATTACCACAGGGCATTTGCGACCGAAACCACGTCGGTCATCTCGCGAGTGTCATGTACCCGAACAACCAAAGCTCCCTGCTGTACAGCGCAAGCAACGGCCGCAGCGGTAGCCCATCCGCGCTCTTTGGCTTCGGTCTTCCTCCCGGCTGGTGCCTTTTCAAGTATGGTTCTAAGGAACGATTTTCTTGATGGGCCAATGAGCTGTGGATACCCCGCCAACGCGTTGTGCCTTCTCCGAGATCCTACACAAGTCGACATAAGGGAGGCTTCGCAAGTGAAAGCGATAGCGTTTACCGTGGCCGATTTGCACATTAGCCGTGATGGCGGCAGCATCCCTCAAAACTTCCAAATTCCCATCCAGCGTCTTGCTGAAACCGATGCCAGGATCGACAATCACCAACCAGCGCCGGATGCCGCCTTTGCCCTTCACTATCATATCCACCTTCGCCCCTAGCTCGAGCCTAACTGATTCGACTACGGCTTGGCCAGCGCCTGCGTATGCATATGCCCCATAATCCTTATTCGCGCCCGCGTCTCCGCGTGAATGCATCAAGGCGACTGGAACTGCGAACTCCCTTGCAACGCGCTTCATCTCGTGCATGCATGTCTCTTGTTCACTCTGCTCTAGCGCGAATGGATAAGAGTCCGCCCCGCTAAACGCATACACATCATTGATGCAATTAGCCCCTGCGGCGATCGCTGCGCGCGCAACCTCGGGGCGGAATGTATCGACACTGATAGGAAGCTCTGGGTGCGCACTCCTAATAGCGGATATATAAGGCGTGACACGCGCAGTCTCTTCCGCAGCGCTGACGTATGCTGCGCCTGGGCGAGTAGAGTAGCCTCCTACGTCGAGAATGCTGGCGGCACTGGCGACAGCGTCCCGAGCGTATTCGAGCGCACTGGGGAGGGTGTTGTGTGTTGCGCCGTCGGAAAATGAGTCGGGCGTTGCATTTAGCGTCG